TGCCGATAGAGGTTAAATACTGCAAAGTTAACTGCGTCTTGCTGACGAATATTCAACGTTAATAATAGGTATACGACACGGAATCTATTTTACACGGCAGAACTGACAGGCAATTTGTGAATTCATGTAAAACTACGGTGGTGGTAATTGCCACATACTTATCCTCTCTTATCAACACATTGCGATCGGCGACCTAATGGCTATACCAACTGGTTTACAGGCGAATTTTCTCCACATGCCCTTCCCCAAAATAATGACCATTGAACGAAAACAAACTGGCACTTTATTTCGAACCATATGCCGCTGAACTTAGTAACTTCGACGATATTTATTCTACTACGATTCATAATCTAAGGAAATGAGCGAGAGGCCTCATTTTTTTCACTCAGGCATTAATGTAACATGGAGCCTCAATGTTGTCCGGGCTGCCTCGCAAGAGTGGCTGCCGGGACACAGTGCGCGGTGATTACCTTGAAAAGTTTGTGGATGAGCTGTTTCTCTGTCAGCCAAAAGTTGGCCATATCCATGGTGTGCGTGTCCCGGTCTCCGTGCAATACGGCGTCATGTATCAGCTGAAAACGCAGCCACAACGGTACAGTGTCAAATAAGCACCTCCGAGACCGCGTCACACAATCACACATGTGGTATACCATGCGATTTCCCACAAATACAGAAGCAGAACATTATCCGTTGAAATTGAAGCATACATATGGCGCCATCAACAATCAGCATGTGCATGATGATGATGGACACGAACTGAGTCTGATCCTGCAGTGAGCTGCTGTTAGGTAAGTGCGATCAATTAATTGTATCGATATAGTTTGCCCAAAGCTCTTCAATCATACCTCTCGGTTTTTAATACGGAAGGACATACTGGACATACTATAGTCTGTTCCACTCAAGGCCCTATTGTTCCACTTAACTTCAACATTCACTCCAAGATGCGTGGCTCATCAAGCACGCGACATTACAGCTACTTAAGAAAATCGAGAAGAGCTGCAGCCAGCCAAAGCTGCGGCGAAATTCTGACGGACAAGTCACTTTGGTGCAGGGGGGTGTCACTACTTTGCTTCGCCATAGGTCCAGTACTGATGTCATTGGTTTCGGACCCGGTGACGTCAGTGCTGGCTACATCCGGGAACTTCTTGCACTTAATTCTCATTAGAGGTGGCCATATTGTTTTGTCCCGTGACGACACATTTGCGTCACTGGGTCCGAAACTGGCTGTAAACAAATCGCTCAGTGTCGCTACCTCCTATATATGGCCTTGCTTTGGTGTCAATTTGGTATATTTGGCCTTGGTCATTGGTAGCCCAGATAAGTCCGTAAAATATCAGGTGATCCTGATTTTTTATTTAAAACGTATTTAATAACATTACTTTTTATAAAGGGTAATTCAAAATATTATCGTGTTGATACAGCTACTGTTAAATGTTTTCAAAACTTCGGCAAGGAAAGCCACTTGGTGCACAAACCAGGCAAACAATTTACAATGTCTACAAATATTTTACTAATAAGAAAGATGAACACCTCAAGCAAGGTGATGAGAGAGCCGCTGCAAGTATCAATGTAGCACAAGAGACAAGTTTGGCTACTGTAGTGTCAATCTCGTCTGTCCAAGCGGTGAAAAAAGAGGCGGAGACATACGGATGCCAGTCTCCAGTCCGCAAGCGACCGAAAAGGATGCGACGCGAGTACCTGGACGACTTTGAGCAATGTGCGCTAAGAAGAATGGTGCACGCTATGTATTTGGACGGAAAAAAGGTCACTTTGGACACGATGAAAGCAGCGGTGCTGCTGCTCGAAAGCCGGGACGCCACCACAACGGACATGTGGCGTAACTGCTGCCGCCATGTGCAGCAACTGGAGGCATACTGGCGTGCTGACGGCATGCTGGAGGACATCGATCCTGTGGTCGTGTCCAGTCGCGTCATTGCAGGATTCGAGCTCCGACAGCGACAGTGATGAGGAATGATGCTTGGTGATGTTCGTCAGGTGTTCGTTGTTCTTGGACCTGTATAAGTATTGTGCGTTATATCTTCTCCGACTGAACGATTGTAACTGCAGCCGCCCTCCCTGCGTTGTACACTTGGTCGCGTCTGGTGTTTCCATAATATACTCAGTCCTCTGTGACGAACGGCTTTTTACATGGAGTGGTTTTGTACATGGGGGAGCATAAGAGACATTTGGATTGGAGCTCACCATCTGTCCTAAAAATTAAAAGTCGGCTAGTGCAGTAGCCAGAGCCGCAGGAAAAGCAACGGTTCTAAAGAGCCAAAGATGACAGACATTGCGCCACGGGTCTCAGTGGCACCTCCCGCACTTTGGCGGCACTTGAAATCACTTGAAATTCCCTGTCTGGTGTGTTCGATTTTTACTAATAACTATTCTCGCTCGTGCATTATCGAACAGCTATCTTGGAGTGAATGCTGAAGTTAAGTGGAACAGACTATAGCAACTGCAGACCACAATAAGGACACTTCAAAATAGAAGTTGAGAAAATCACCGACAACGTTGATCGCCTTGAAAGTCCTAATGAAGCAGCTTTGATCCTGGCCAGACGCGACTGTTGACCAGATACCGATATTCACCGCAAGGTGTCAGCCGGGGCGGTCCGATCACTCCGATCCCATGCTAGCCTGATATCTAGCACATAGTTTTTGCATGCATCGAGCTTTCCACTTAAAAATTGGGGTAAATGCTGACCTGTGCCCTTCTGAGGTATTTTCAAAACACAATATGCTGATGAACTATGCTGTGCCCCTCCCCCCCCCCCCAGGCCCCATCCTCCACTGAACTACGAAAGTACTCGAAAAAGTGTCAAAAGTTATGTGGTTTGAATCCCATACTTAGAATAACTTTCGAAAAAAAAAAATTAATTTGTTTACCAAAAACTAAGTGATCATATTAATTCCTATGACATGTCGGGCACATAAAGGATGCACGACGGTCCGGTCCGGTCTGGTCCGGGCGGTGGTCCGACGGTGCGGCTCACTCACCCGCTCGGCGTATCCGCGAGCCTCGTCCAGCCGAATGTACTGCATCTCGACCCGTTCGTCCCGGACCAGTGCTGTGACGGTGGAGCGCAGGTTCTTCAGACGGCCGTACGAGCCCTCCACGTTCCTCAGGGGACGGTATTTCGGCTGCACGGGGATCCGCAGCTGCGGGATCAGCCGGCCCAGCTGGGACGTCATGGCGGCACCTGCCAATGATATCAGTCACCGTCATCGTCTGATATTGCCACTTTAGGTGGCAATCAGTTGCTCCCAATCCATGAGCTGAGCAGGTCCGCATGCACCGCCTCAGCTACCGGATTTAATTCATACGAATTTTTGGCAGGTATTTAGGGGATGTGGATCATCAGCAATAGTTGAGACAGGTAGAAGGAAAGAGGGATTTTCCATACAGCACAGCAGTTCATTGGGAGGTTTCAGGACGTGGCACTTTTCAGGTTTGTTCGTCCCCCCAACTCGGTCGGTAGAGCGTCGCTTTCCCGTCGATGTGATCGAGAGGGCTCCGGTTTGAGTCGCTCTGGCCAGTGTGGCCAAATTGGTGATGTTGCGGGGAAAGTCACCCCCAATGAAAAGTATAATGACATCCTCAGAAATTTTAAAATTACATCCTCACGACGTTTTTGTCGTGAAAGCATACCTAGTAGGAATAAAGAGTGAAAATGTTCCAATGTACGATTCGCACCGTCATACTCGTACTGTCTCGCAGTCGCTTGCAATGTCGTTTTTTTACATCTTTAATGACAATATTTTTTTTTTTACTTTCCACCAGAACTTGATGTCAGGTATAGTTTTTTCCACATTATCTGTAAAAACTGCACCTAAAATGAGGCTGAAGACGAGTTTTTTTGAAAATAGTGACATCCTCGTACGACTTTTTTATACATCCTCCCCCTAACGCTAAACCAATTTGGTCACACTGGCTCTGGGTCCTCATATGCAACATTGTCCGGGAACTCATGTTTGTTTTCAATAGAAAAAGTTTTAACCAGCAGTGTTTTTAACTAATGAACACAAACCTTCGGTTATATGGAGACCTCCTCCGACGGCCGACGGGAATAATCCGCGGTTGGCGGGAACAGCTAATCAGCAGGTGCAGAGCAGGACGTTTTGAGGGCATCATGCCTGTGCTTTTTTCCAAACTTTTCCCCCACTCAATCGGTAGCCAGACTGTTCGTGATCACGTCTTTTTCCTTCAAGTCACTGAGGCGATCCAGCACTATATGAGCCCTACAGCCCGCAGCTACATGACCTCTGACCCCAGCAGGGAGGGATCGGCCGTGTGTACTGACCGGGACCGCTCCATCGAGTCGAGCGCCACTCAACATTTAACACGCACAAATCGGCTCGTACCTGGCTGGCACTTTTTACCATGGGTGGCGCTACTTTCGACAGCTTTTTACCTGCAGTCGGCGCTACTAACACCTATTTACCGGGGGTGGCGCAACTCTCGACAACTTATATACCACAAGACCGCACACTGTACTGTTGAAAGACACTACTCTTCACGCCTATTTTCCGCGGGCCGCGTGCTACTCTGACGCCTATTTACCGCGAGTCGGCGTAACTCGAGAGTTCAGACTGTCAGCACAGGTAAAACAGCTGAAACTTGCTTGAAATGCCAGAAAGTTTGCAATCAAGCATGATCACTTGAAGTATTGGCAACATCACCATGCATATCAATGGAACATTAACAACCTCTTGATCCATGGTATTTGAGAATTGGCACAGAAATATGGCAAGGTAATGATACTCCTTGACACCAAGGAGGTCACAGGAGGTCACAGGGAGGAGGTCCTAGCCCCTTGGTAGTTCCACCCTCCCCCTGCAGTCTCCTCCTAGCACTGATGAGCTAGGTTCTCACTTGAATCCCTCTTGTTGACCCCCCTCCATAAGAAGAAAGGTGTAACTGAGCAATATAATTCAGTGGGTGGGAAGTCAAAGACTAATGAGTAAGCTCAATGATGAGCTGTGTAGTGTGTACTCACCTAATTCTCACTTGGTGACCTCTAGTCTTCAAAATCAATCAAGGTTTTAAGTTAAGAGTTCAATATAGCCGTGGCTATGGCAGTGAATTAACAACTCTTCTTTATATCATACTGAAAAATGGGACAGTTTTCATATCATTAATCACCAGCAGGTATTCCAATATTAGGACAGAAAAGAAAATTGGCAAAAATAAGCTATTTAACACCTCCCCCTAACACCTTACACTAAGTGAAGTGTGAACAGAGTGCAAGAACAGAAGCAGAGTTAAAAACACAGGCATGACATTAATCTAACAAAAAATTAGGTAGGTACTTAGGAAAGAGCAAATCCATCCAGCTAGCAAAAAATCAAGACATATTAATAACAACAAGACTGAGTAAGAGTTTTATTAGTATTCACAATAAAAAACACTGCAAGCAATCCTTGATTATAACCTATCCAGCTATGAAAGTATTAAGAGAAGTTAAAGTAAGCTGGGAAAATTGACATATGATCTCCATGATATGCAGTATACCTAATACTAATTGAAACTTGGAAATGACATCAATATAAGAGCTTTGGTGATTTTGGTATCTGTCAGAAACCCACTGGCTTCCGCATTGCACATATTCATTGATCTTGATCTATTGCCTGTCCCATAGCTCAGTTGGTAGAGCACCGGACTCCCGTTAGTGAGACTTGAGCCCAGGTTCGAGTCGCTCAGGCGCTCGATATTTGAGACTCCTGACGGGGATGGTCTGCAGTTGGGGAGCATCCGCAGCCAGTTGAAGTCATTTGAGTGGGATGCCGTGCCCGGCTTTGAAGGGCACGTTAAACTTTGGCATCTAAATTCTCCCATTACCCGGAATTCATCATGAATTGCGCGATCAGGCGGTAGGAGTCGGGGTCTATGCAACAAGCTCTGCTCAGCGTGGGCCTCAGCTCTGTCAATCCGTCCATTGAAACATTCGAACTAAATTTAAAAAAATGGCATGCCATGATGTGCTTCAGCTTATTAGTGCCTACTTCAGTTGGGCAAACTAGACTTTTGGAATCAAAATATGGAGGCATCAATAATTTGATTCTGGTGGGAGGAGCCATGACCAAATATGGGCATGGAATCAATTTTTTGATTCATTTGGGTACATTTTGACTTCAAATGTATCGTTACGGTTGAAAAAAGGCCTGTTCCCGACACAGTCGCACTATGCCGGTAACAATGTTCGTAGAAGAGTTTTAGATAAGAGTTTATTATAAAGGGCCGAAATCAAATCACTTGCCGATAAATGTAGAAATAGCTTGAGAAGAAAAACGAATATCCGGCCGATACCGGTGCGTCGGGGTGGCAGCACACCGTCGAGAATTCGTGGGTGCGCCGCAGCCGCACCCCTTCGCCGAACGACCAGGAGCACAGGGACTGAGGCGCGACACTGTGCGCCTCTTTCGGTCCCGTCGAGGTACTACGAGCACAGGGACTGAGGCGCTCACCGTGCGCCTCGTTCGGGTCCCGTCGTTGCACTGCTATCACACGCACAGCCGCCGGCTTTTAACGGACGGGTGAAAGCGAAAGCACAGTATACAGGTCAGGAAACGAAAGCAAAAGTCATTAGAAGTGCCTCTAGCGCCGAGTAAAAGCGCAGAGTAAAAACACAAACAAGTAAAAAGTAACAGTTGTCTGGGGCGTGGCCGCCGCTCGGACCGGTAGCACCACGGACCGGTTTCGTCGGTAACATAGCCGGCCCAGATTTTGCCAGCGAAATCTCAATAGGAACACCGGCGAAACGACTATATACATATTTACAGGTACATGGAACGCATGTTGCTGCTATGCATGGATTATTTTGATCGCTCCAGAACGCATAGGCGAGTAACGGGTCTGGTCAGCTCCCCGCAAGCGGTCTTGACGACCGCAGCGCGCACACGGCCGTCTGTGCCGACGATCGGCCGCAATACGCGGGCCAGAGCCCACATGCCGCGAGGAGCGTTATCCTCAGCCACGAGAACCAGCTCGCCGGGTTTGAGGTTCCCCTCCTCTGTCGTCCATTTCCGCCGGGCCGTCAGGGTGGGCAGGTACTCGCGGCGCCAGCGGCGCCAAAACTCGTCGGCGAGTCGCTGCCCGTGTCGCCATCGTTTCCGAGACGACAGATCGGTCTCGGAGAAGACGCCCGGCGGCAGATTGGGGCTAGCTCGTCCCAGCAGCAGGTGGTTCGGAGTCAGCGCCTCCAGGTCGTCCGGTTCGCTGCTGACGTGGGTTAGTGGGCGGCTGTTCAGCAGCGCCTCCACCTCGGCCATGAACGTCTGCAGAGTTTCATCAGTGAGTACCTGCTGGCCCACGACGGACCGAAGGACAGTTTTCACTGATCGGACGAGCCGCTCCCACGCGCCGCCGAAGTGGGGTGACGCCGGTGGGATGAATCTCCACTCGATCTGCCGCTGTGACAGCTCGTCAGCTATCTGCAGCTGGTTCCACTGCCGGATGGAGTTTCTGAGCTCCCTGTCACCACCGCGCATGTTTGTGCCGTTGTCTGAGTGGATGACCTTTGGGTGTCCGCGTCTCGCGATCATCCGCCTCAGGCACATCAGCAGCGAGTCCGTATCGAGAGAGTGGGCGATTTCGATGTGCACTGCTCTCGTGGCCATACAGGTAAACAGACACCCGTAGCGTTTTTCGTGACGGCGGAGCTTGGTCACGGTTAAGGGACCGAAGTAGTCCACTCCGACCTGAGTGAACGGCGGACAGTGTGACGTCACACGGGCTTCCGGCAGGTCGGCCATGACAGGTGGGCGGGGTACAGCGCGGCGCTGTTTACAGACAGGGCATGAGAAGGCGTACGCCTTCACCGCCGCTCTGCCGCGCAGAATCCAGTAGGCCTCTCGCAGACGACTCAGCACATGTTCTGTGCCGACGTGGGCCATACGACCATGGTAGTCGGAGACGATGAGCCTTGTGACGTCATGACGTGACGGCAGGATGGCTTGATGTCGAGCGGTATGAGTCAGAGAGTCGGCGTGACGTAGTCGGCCGCCCACCCTGATCACTCCACTGCTGTCCAGGAACGGTCGGAGAGTGATGAGCTTGCTGCCTCGCGGGAGCTGCCGGCCCGTTTTCAGCGCAGCCAGCTCGTCGGGAAAAGCTTCCTGTTGCACCTGCTGAATGCACAGCGTCTCGGCTGCCTGCAGCTCGGCGGCCGTCAGCGCTCCCGTAGCCCGTTCCGAGTTTGGTGTCCGGCAATTCTGCACGAAGCGTAGCATCCAGGCGGTGGTGCGCCGCAGTCGCAGCCACGATGAGAACTTCGCCGGCGGCACCAGTTGTGGAGTTGTCGCGATGACATTGACGCTGACGTCTGCGCGTCGTTCTTGATCGGCGGGGTCAGCCCGGCCCTCCTGGTCGCCAGCCACGTCAGCCGGCCATTCGCTAGGAGGGCGGCTGAGGAACGGTGGTCCGCTCAGCCAGCGGTCATCTGCCAGCAGGGCTGGTATGTCACAGCCGCGCGAGCACACGTCCGCCGGGTTGATGACTCCCGGGCAGTGACGCCAGGCCTCTGGGAGGGAGGTGTCTTGTATTTCGGCGACACGGTTCGCTACAAACGTCTTGAATGTTCGACTTTCGCTCTTTATCCATTGCAAGACCGTTTGTGAGTCTGACCAGAAGTGGCACGAGTCGATCGTGATGTCATGCTCCCGCCGCACGCACTCTGCTATCCGCACAGCCATCACGGCGGCCTGCAGCTCCAGCCGCGGGATACTGAGCTGACGAAGCGGGGCGACTCGATTTTTGGCTATCACGAACGCCGTACTGATTCTGCCGTCTTGGTACTGGAGTCGGAAATAGGCGACTACTCCGAATGCAAGCTCAGAGGCGTCACTGAACAGGTGGAGCTGACAGTTGACTGGCGGTTCACGGCCGTCTCGGTAGCACCGGCTGAGTTGGAACTGGTGCAGCTGCGCCCGTTCACCGGCCCATGCTCTCCATGCATTAGTGAGCTGACGGTCTGTGAGTGGATCGTCCCACTGACAGCCGCTTCTCCAGATGTTCTGCAGCAGTGTTTTGGCGCGGAGGGTCCAGGGCGCTAGCATTCCCAGTGGGTCAAAGATGGACGACACTGCGCTCAGAATGCCGCGCTTCGTCACTGGAGTGTCACTATCGGCTGACTTGAAGGTGAACATGTCGGCTGAAACGTTCCACCTGACACCCAGCGTTCGTTCGTACTGTGACCCGTCCAGGTCGAGGTCACGTGTGTCGCCGCTGCAGTCTGCAGCGGGGACTGCCTTTAGTGCTGCTGGTGACGAGCTGGTCCATTTCTTGAGAATGAAGCCACCAGTTTTTAGCAGCTTGCTGAGAGCAGCCTGCATTGCAGCCGCCCTTTCATCATCTTCGAATGAGTCCAGGTAGTCGTCCACATAGAAACGGGTGTGCACGGCGGTAGCGGCGGCCGGGTATTCGTCTCGATGGTCGTCGGCGCACTTCTGCAGTGCGTATGTTGCTGAACAGGGTGATGCCGCCGCTCCGAAGACCAGGACCTGCATCTGGTACACGTCTGGTGGCCTCTCTCGGTCAAAGCCGCGCCACAGGAACCGCAGGGCAGGCTGATCGGCTGGCCGGACGCGTACCTGATGGAACATCGCCTCTATGTCGGCGGTGAGGGCGACTGGACGCTGGCGAAAGCGCATGAGGATGCCGACTAGGTTGTTCGTCAGGTCCGGCCCCGTCAGCAGATGGTCGTTAAGAGACGCTCCGTTGAAGCGAGCAGCAGCGTCAAACACTACGCGTATTTTCCCCGGTTTGTTTGGGCTTGTAACGGCGTGGTGTGGGAGGTACCACTCCCGCTCGTGCTGCACGGCCAGCTCGGCTGGTAGCAGCTTTCGGGCATAGCCCTTTCGAATGTACTCGCTGATGGTCAATTCGTAGGCATCTGCCAGTGCAGGGTTGCGGTCCAGCTTGCGTTCGATAGACCGAAGCCTGGACAGGGCACCGCTGAAATTCCCGGAGAGGCGTACGTCTGCCGACATCCACAGCAGGCCAGTTTCATATCGTCCGCCGGCCCGCTTCGTGGTGCTTTCGAGTAGCTGTATCGCCGCCTCGTCCTGCTTACAGCGTTTCGGGGCCGATGCGTATTTCGTGCCGAATGATTCGGTGGACCACCAGCTGCTTAACCTTTCGTGCAGGCTAGCATCTTCCGTGATTGTCAATGTGGTAACGTGTTGCGCGCTGCCGCCCAAGACACTCTCCGGGAGCTTCCCGGTCACAACCCAGCCGAGCAGAGTGTGAACGGCCCATGGGGCTTCGGCGGGTCCTCGGCGCACTGTCAGTGGCATAATAAGGTCCATGGCGTCTGCACCGATGAGCACTCTGACCGGCTCTGAAGAAACCGGGGCCAGATTGAGGTCTGCCAAATGAGGCCACTTTGATTTAGTCTTTGGCCAGTTCAATGCGGAACCGGCTACGTTTATCTTGGGCGTAGTACGGACACCTTGAATTACATACTCTCTGGCGCCGTCACGTGGCTGGATTCGTAGCTCGATGCGTTTCGAAGCTTGCATGGAGCTGCCTGCCACCGTGCCCAAACACAGTGGCTCGTCTGGTCCACTCAGTCCCAGGTCAGCCGCCAGCTGCTCAGTCATCAGCGACACCTGGCTGCCGAGATCGAGGAGGGCGTTCACAATCCGCTCGCCGCCGGGACCGCGGACGATCACCGGCAGAATCTGGAGCAGCACGCTGGTACTGGTCTGTCCATTGGTGGCGCCGACGTAGTTTTTGTCGGCATCGTAGGCTGGTGTTGTCGCTGGGCGTGGCTTGAACAGGCGAGGGGCGCCATGGAGGAGCGAGTGGTGTCGCGCCTTGCAGTCCGGGACAGCATCACACGGTGTTCTGTCGGGGCAGTCACGCGCTCGATGTCCGCGCTGAAGGCACACCCAGCACAGACCCTTGTCCCTCACTAGTTCAGCTCTTTTGTCGGTCGAGTTGGTCGCAAATTGGGGGCACTTAACCACCGTGTGTGGGCCACTGCACTGCTCACACGGATTTGTTGGCTGTGCGGCCTGCTGCCGTGCAGACTTGGCCGTCACTGTCAGCACGTTGCGCCGGGGGCGAGTGGCAGGGGCTGAGACGGGCTTGCCGTGTTTCGTCGGACTGACGTCCTCTTCTGCAGCGACCAATCGGCCGGCGTCGACGTGCCTTCTGAGCCACCTATCCAGGTCGACCAGAGTCGGGGCGGCCGGTCGAAGGGTCATGGCGTGCTCTCCCCAGCGCCATGACAGGGCACGGGGCAGCTTGGCCACGACCTGCTGGAGGTTCGCAGTCGCTGCTAGGTCGGCGTCGTAGCTGAGTGAGCTCAGCACCATCACTGCGCTGTGCAGGGCCGTCGATAGGGATCGTAGTGAGCTGAGATCGTTGTCTTTCGTCGGTGGCACGGTCAGCAGTCGGTTCATGGCAGCACGAACGACGTGGCCGGGGTTGCCGAACTGACGCTCCAGCTCACTGAGCGCCTCGGTGTACATGTCTGCATCGCAGAGCAGACCGCTGACCGCCTCTCGGGCCTCACCGGTCAGACACGACTGTAAGTGAGCCAGCCTCTCCGTGTCGGTCAGGCCCCGGTGGTTGTGCACCAGCGCTCTGAAGAGTGAGCTCCAGCGGGGCCATTCCAGCGGCGAGCCGCTGAACTGGTCGAGCTTGAGCTTCGGGAGCGCCGAATCCGTGTGATGTCTCGCTGGTCGGTCGTCCGACCGCGGCCTGTCGGAGAGCTGCTCGATCCAGCCAAGTGTCCGCTCTCTAGTGACGTCACTGGGCGGGCTCGGCGCGACCGCTGAGGCTCCCTGACGAAGGAGCGCCGACTGGAACTGGGAGGGCGCTCTGCTCTCCCCGTCATGCTCCAGTGCTTCCTCCTCGAGCCTGAGCTCCAGCTCATTCAGCTCGGCCTCGTCCCGGGCAGCCTGAACCTGGGCAGCCGCCTGAGCGGTGGCGGCTCTCTCCACCTGGGCTACCTTGAGCCTGGCGAGTTCGGTCTTGATTCGCAGTTCGTTGATACGCGATGCCGATGACGTTGCCGAACACTCCGCCTCGCTGCGGGTTTCGGCCTTGCTTGTTGCTCGCCTCTCCGACCGCGTGCTCATCACTGCAGTTCGTTGTACACTGTTCCGAACACTAGTTCGATAGTATCCGGCCCGGAGGACCAATTTGTTCCCGACACAGTCGCACTATGCCGGTAACAATGTTCGTAGAAGAGTTTTAGATAAGAGTTTATTATAAAGGGCCGAAATCAAATCACTTGCCGATAAATGTAGAAATAGCTTGAGAAGAAAAACGAATATCCGGCCGATACCGGTGCGTCGGGGTGGCAGCACACCGTCGAGAATTCGTGGGTGCGCCGCAGCCGCACCCCTTCGCCGAACGACCAGGAGCACAGGGACTGAGGCGCGACACTGTGCGCCTCTTTCGGTCCCGTCGAGGTACTACGAGCACAGGGACTGAGGCGCTCACCGTGCGCCTCGTTCGGGTCCCGTCGTTGCACTGCTATCACACGCACAGCCGCCGGCTTTTAACCGACGGGTGAAAGCGAAAGCACAGTATACAGGTCAGGAAACGAAAGCAAAAGTCATTAGAAGTGCCTCTAGCGCCGAGTAAAAGCGCAGAGTAAAAACACAAACAAGTAAAAAGTAACAGTTGTCTGGGGCGTGGCCGCCGCTCGGACCGGTAGCACCACGGACCGGTTTCGTCGGTAACAAGGCCCATGACGGTGAGTTTTTTCTTTAAAAAGGTAGAAAAATGTGGTAGCTTTCCAAAAAGTGTTACCTCAAAACTAAGAAATTGTCCCTTTGGCCTTGTGAATGGGAAAAAGTCAGAGCCACTGTCCATCACGTAAAAGCTGTTTTGAGGAAATCACACTGTATGTTATTTTTGTATCATGAATCGCATACTTAACAATTAGTATTTGTGTGAAATGGCAAAATGAAATTTTCAAACCCCTTATCATCATTGTTGTAGTGCTTTTATATTTATTGTATGGTTTTTACCTGTTGCTTCAGTTTTTGAATTCTTGACATTTAAAAATTGTGAAATGTTATCAAATGTAGTGAAGGTTAACTACAACAATGCTATAGGTATCTATTGTGGTGCTGAGGATACCACTAAATGAGCATAGTAGCAAGATAAATGATGTATTCCTGCAAGTCATTGTTGCCTATCTATTAACATTACCTGTGAATCAAAATAATGATTAGCCAGCTGATGGGGAATCAATATTATGATTATCTGTTTAAAGTGAATCAATTACTTGATTGCCTTTCACTACCTATAGAATTCAAATTGTTATGATATGAGCAATATTATTTTGCTTAGGACTTAGGAGATAGTTCCAGCATTTCTGTTCAAGATCAGGCATGCTCCTTCTTGAAACACTCTCTTATTTTTATGTGATTGGTAAGTTAGAAATGATCTGCATTTATGCCCAAATATGGTCATAAGGAATCAATCTTTTGATGCCTCCATATTTTGATTCCAAAGGTCTAGTTTGCCCAACTGACTTGTCATTTAGGTATGACTACCTAATTAGTTTCGTTTCAAAGTTTTAGTTCCTGACAAGTTGTCTATGCCTATGGAGCTGTAAATATCGGAATAAACGGAGTTCTATAGCTTTGGTAAACATCAATACAGACAAATACGAGCTGAAATGGAAAGTCTGGGAAAAAGCAAGGCTGACGCTATTCTGGATTCCATGCCCCTCCCAAGAGAGCGCCTACAGGTAAAATAAGCCACATCGTCAACAATCAATATGAATAACATAAAAACACCAGTCATACCGCATACCCAACCACGCCAACTAACAAGTCAAATCTGCAATTTGTCTGCTCTGCAATCATGCTGCATGTACAAGCAAGCGGCTGCATGCAACATGCAAGCATGGCGAAATGTGGCAGCGATTTGGTAGCAATGACCTACGGCAAAAACAACGCTACTGTGACATACCTTGTGTTCGATGTCTCTCAGACGACGAAGATTCTTCGTCGTTTGGCCAATCACGTTCTAGGTCAGCGGGGGCTCGGCTGCGGTTATGAATCGTGATTGGCCGAACGGCGTAGAATCTTCGTCGTCCGAGAGACATCGAACGCGGGGATAATAATCATCATGATGCATGCTGCGCGTATGCCGCACAATACGCACAATATACCCTGTATGCCGTATGCGTTACAGTTCTCTCACACCTTACCGTGGCCAAGGTGTTTGGTATGGTTTCTTCAGTTCTTTATATTCAGTGGGTTTCTTTGTGCACGCGATTCACTGTCACAGTGCAAGCCAAGGAGATATAAAATTATTAGCTTAGGAATCTTGGTGGTAATGAAAAACACAGATGCCAGTCTTGGTCTGTCATGTGTATCAGTATTATACCGAACTCTTGTACCTATAGTTTGAAACATTAAAGATTTTTATGGCTTTCTGATTCTACAACTAAAAACTCCCTATCCCTCCCCTTCCCTCTTCCTCTCCTCTCCCTCTAAGCTCTCCCTCTGGCCTCTCGCAGCTAAATTTTGCTTTTATTTGATAGAATAAGCCAGTTCAAGTTCTGCATTCACCATTCAATATTACCTAGACCCTCCACTAGCAAACTGTATATGTGACCCTTTTTACCATTGCCTATGAAAGGTTGTCCCTTTCACGTCAAATACTTATCTGACCCACAGGGACAGGGAGAATGGTGTTAACTTACCAGACCGACAGCTATGCTCAAGAGTTGGATACTGACGTGGTGAGCTGCTGTGCGGCCGAGCACAAGCTGCCAGTTGATGGCCGACCAACCCGGGTGCAGTGCCATGAGGTGGTGCTGGCAGACACTGTATTGTTCCCGGAGGGCGGCGGTCAGCCAGACGATCGCGGAACCATCGGCGGCCAGCCCGTGCTTCGTGTGCTGCGACGGGGCGCGGAGCCCGTTCACCTCCTCGAGGGACCACTGGCCGTTGGTGAGCGCGTGCACGTAGCCGTGGACTGGGCGCGCCGCTGGGACCACATGCAGCAGCACTCGGCGCAGCACCTGATTACTGCCGTGCTGGACCAGCTGTATGGGTGCACCACCACCTCCTGGGCGCTGCGCGAGGCATCATTCTGCACCATCGAGCTGGACAGTGCTCAGCTGACGGCCGAGCAGTTGGTGAAGGCGGAGGAGCGCGCCAACCAGCTGATCCGGGAGGCTCGCCCCGTCACCGTCAGCGTCCACCAGGCAGGGGACGCGGCTCTGAACGGGGTCCGCGCGCGTGGCCTTCCCGACGACCACGTCGGTGCGGTGCGCATCGTATCCATCGCCGGCGTGGATGACAACATGTGCTGTGGCACCCACGTCAGCAACCTGGCGCACCTGCAGGCGGTGAAGCTTCTATCAGCAGAGCGCGGCAAGAAGGGCCGCACCAACGTCTCATTCCTGGCCGGCCAGCGACTGCTCGACTACGTGGCCGAGTCGGCGCGGCGCGAGACACAGCTGAACCTCACGCTGAAGTGCGGCCCCGGCGACTACGCCACCGTGCTGGACAAGTGGCAGCGCACGATGAAGGCCGGCCAGCGGGCGGCGCGGGACGTGCTCCGTCAGCTGGCTGACGCCGAGGCCGAGCGGTTCTGGCGCCCCGGCGAGCGGTTCCTCTCGGTGCACCAGCCGCACGGTGACGCGGAGTTCATGTCGGCCGTGGTGTCGGCCGTGGGTGACGGCACAGTGCCGGTGCTGGTGACCGTGGGCGGCGCGGACGGCGCGCCCGGCTCGCTGCTGCTCTCCGGCCCGCCGGCGCTGGTCGAACGGCTCGGACCCCGGCTCTGTGAGCTCATGGACGGCAAAGGCGCCGGCAAGAACGGCCGCTTCTCCGCCAAACTGGGCTCGCTCAAACAGCGCGCCCAGGCCGACCGGCTGCTGCGCGAGGAGATCGAGTCATCGACCGAAAGTTGAACGGAGTCCTATATCCTTTTGTTGAACGAGCTCTGTGTGTGTTTGGTCGTTATTAGTGATGACTTTCGTTTAGTCGCATATGGTCAGTTCACACATCGGGTCACGTCCAAGTCACGTCGGCGTTTTATGTGATAGTCGTGGAGTCATTCGGTCACTTTCATTGAATGTTTCTGTCTGAAAGCTAATGTTTTCGATATGCTGTTGTGATTATAAGTTTGATGTAAATGACAAACAATGCAACAAACGCAATGAAAACTAAATGAAAAATGTCACTAAATGAAAACTTTAATCGAGGGAAAGTTGTTATCTTCACGGCCCTCTGAGTGTGTAGAGTATCGAGTTGTTCTTGTAAAGAAGTTTTGCCCGGCCGTGTAAAGAAGTTTTGCTACATTATATTCATTACTTATGCAATATGCATGCATCTAAATCGAAATTCGAACTCAGGATCTCAAAGTATCCCAGCAAAACCTCTCTTCAAGAAGTTCTAGTGGGTCCTAATTGGCCGAGTTGTGGGTCATTGAGGTGATCTGGATTGTCAACCAATGACGTAAGGTTTTCGAGTTAGATACCATCGGCTTCCTCTCCTCACGAGCAATACTATCTTTTCTTTTCGGAACGCTGTTGTTTAATGGGTCCGGTTACCCCCCAGAAATTGGCGGCTGTGATTTGTGAAAACGCCACTACGGGCGACGGTAACCCATCCAACGGCCTACTGGGGTCATATCGGTTTGTATCAGTCATCTGTCTCTGTTTCTGTTTCCGTCTACGTCAAGGTGTTGTGTTCGTTTCGCTCTCGCTCTGCCATCGAGGAGAAAGTTTGAGTGAGTTTGTCACAGTTAGCATATTATACGCATCTGCAGTCTACATGCTTGATTTTGATAAACAACGTGCTTGGTCGCCATTTTCAGCCGGATAAGGGATGGTTGTATAATTTGTTTACAATTTGCATTGAATTACTCATCAGGTACCGATCTATTCGAAGAACAAAACATGTTTTTTCTGCATCGCTGTTACGATTAGTCTGCTGCGATAATCCGGTAACGAATCACAGGTGCGCGGCATATGCCCCTCGGCTCTGGTCGTACCGGACATTACACACCGGGCCGGACTGGCATTGCAGCACGTCTTAGTGGTGCTTACACGCGTGCCGGGCGCTCCGACGCAGACCTGCCGCTCTGCATAGATTGATGCCAAAATTAGATACAGGCACAGATCACAAAGAGCCGTCCCCGCCAACCTGGGCAGACTTGAGAGTTGAGACCCTTGAGACATGATGTACCATACCCTACCTACGCAATGCAGATGCTTTATGTAGGCACGGTACCGTATGTGTACAAAATACAAATAAGTATCGGAAATGTTTGTGTTATACCTACAAAATACAAATAAGGATAATGTTCCGGTAGAGTTGGTCCATGAGTTCCGCTATCCCCATCCGGACAGTGTGATCGAAACTGTGCATATAAAAGAGGCAGGCTTCCCGGTGGCCGTTTATTCGAAGAAAGGCTCGCCTCGAGTTTCCTGTGCCGTGGGTGGGAAGGAAAGCTGAACATAGCGGATACTAGTGGTAAACGTGGCCGCCATAGCCGTACGAACGGCCGAGGCCCGGGTAGCCGCCGTAGCTGGGGCCATAGTTGCCGTAGCCGCCGTAGTCATATCCAACGTAGGGACGACCGTAGCTGCCGTAGTCGCCGAGGGCTATACCGAGGTTATGTCCGTAGCCGCCACCGTAACTTCCGTAGCTCGGGCCGTATCCACCATAGCCGTAGCTGGCAGAAGTTGCGGCCACCAAGGCTGCGAGCAGAACAAACTGAAAATGGAGAGGGCTGTTACTCATTCTGACCGGGATTCGTTTGGGAGTGGGCAAACGGTGCCTTTTGATGCCAGCATCGCTCGGCAGTTCTAGCGCAGGACCGCCGGCGACCATAAAAGGCAACTTTTTTGGCAATCACGTGGATAAAAGTGAATCCTCATAAATTCTGCAATGAAAATGCATAAACGCCTAGTCTTATTAGGTACGCCTTAACTCATGCAAATGTGTAAAATCGACTACAGAATGATGTTCCACTCCTCAGAAGCTATCAGTTGACCGGAGCGCTAAGTTGTGCCGTTTATCACGCAATTAAGCGTGTCGATTGTGAGTATTGGGTGGGACAAAGCAAAGCTATAATTTGTGAACTCAGCCCGTGTGATGCGGCACAGCCTACCACTCCAGGCAAATAATTGCCTGTGAAAATGGAACATCATTCGGTAGTCGACTATACAAAAGAGACAGCATCGATTGGGCAGCCTGCAGTGTTCGCCACGGGCCGGGCCAGCCCAACGGGCCACGGGCCGGGCTGGGCTACGGGCTGGGCCGGGCCCCCAAATATCATTAGTTAACGGGCTATGGATGGGCCGGGCCAAGAACTTTGTGCACTATGGGTTTTGCGACTAATGTCAATTTAAGAAAATTTGGAAACTGATGCAAACAAAACCCACTGGGAAAATACAAAAACTAAACCAAATTTAAGCAATGTGAAAGAAAACCTACTTGATATTGAATTTTGGGAATCTTGAGAATTATCCAATATCACATCATGTCACACATAGGAGGGTTTTCATAAAAATTCCGCAACCAAAAAGATCAGAGAATCTCTAGCATCATTAGTTTGTTAATAAAAGTTAAAATGTAGTCATCAGAACAACTTACTTAGCACTACAACTCCAAAAACTAAGAAGCCACTCAACAATGATGGGCTACAGGGCTACATTAAGTTAACACTTATATATGGCGATAGTGAGACAATTCCAACACAGTCTTTTTTCCTTCACCGACGGCTTTTTAACGAACAGAACCTTAAAAGGATACTCACAAAACACACTGTAAGTAACGAGGAACTCTACAGAGTATTTCGCGATGAAAGCTTCTTTAAATGTCCATAAATTTGTCAAAATAAATCACAACAAACCAGCCCCTTCTCAACAAAATGTGCAATCATGGCGGCGGCGCTATGTTTATGTGGCGGCATCTAGGTAGTATACACAACAGTATATCAAATAAATACGTTTTTTAAGTGAGTATCAAGGTGAAAACAAAATTAAACCAATGAAAAATAAAACCAAAATCACGAAGTCTGAAAACTCGAACGAAAAACAAAACAAAAACTTGATCATATATGTTTTATTATACAATTCGTCAGAATCGCTACCTGCCGCAGCTGCGACAATCAAGAAGTGTTCGCTCATTTTCGATTGATGATGATGATGCGTACAAGTCGCAAAAGTACCCAATGACATTTCAAGCTTACCATGTTTTCTGCTTACGCTGCTAGCGATATCCATATCTTGAAAAGAGCCTAACATAAAATAGCAAGGAAAGTAGCAGATAGTTGTCCACAGAGATTCGGTTGACACGTGGGCATGAATTGAAAATAGATTAAATCAGTTTTGCTGATAAATGGATGGATTTTCTCTTTTTTTGGAAGACAGTGCTAAAGTTAGTGTCACCTATTTTGTATGCTTTCTCAGGCTTTTGATATTGCAGCATCTATGGAGTGAATTTAACAGCAAGGTCAATCCCAGACAGATTCATCAATTCCCATAAGTCAAGCTTTTTTTCTGCTGGTAAGTGCTGGGAAGTATAGAGTATGTTGCAAATACTTCCTTCAAGTATGCATTAGAGTCACCAATTATTAATGATAATGTTCACACACATCAGCTTGCAAGATAACTTTACTCATAGAATGTAGTTAATATAATCATGTAAACTTTTTATAGGTGTGTAATCATGACCTAATTGACTGAGGTGCTTGCTGTTACTGTTAAAATTTGTGCCATAGGTGCTTGAAATGATTATATTCATTGAAAAGAAGGGAGTCATGATTGCCATGTTAATATTCATGCAATTTGAATTGTTCTCAAAATAGTGTAATCAATCATGCTTATTATAGCCATAGACTAAGACAATAACTAGATTGCTATTTTTGACGGGCCGGGCCGGGCTGGGCTTGGAATATTTGCCAAGAGCGGGCTACGGGCTGGGCCGGGCTCTGAACCCATGGGCCCGGGCCGGGCTGGGCTGGGGATTTTGGGGCCCGTGGCGAACACTGGCAGCCTGTGCTTCAAAAAAAAAAAAAAAAAACACCCATGCAAGCCGTGAGTAGTAAAATGATCTCGCGTGCAAGCAACCACACAGTCAACAACTGGTGCAGCCGGTACACCTCTGTGATGTGCACTATTGCCACCTGGATCACGAGGCATTACTGTCAGTCCACAATAGGTATGTGTGTTTAAAAATGTCTTGAACCGGGCAAACGTGGCATACCGAAAATGGTAGGCATTTCACTTTTCCATTGCTGCTTACGTTTTAAAAAGACGGAAGGTCGCAGGAGATACCGAACATTTACGTTACAAACAAACAGTCCCATACAAGAGTATGACATAGGTAGTGAAAACTGAAAGGTACTTACAGCACGAATGCAGGTCATGTTCGCAGTCGGTGTGAGCCGTGTAGTCGCCCGTCTGTGTGCTGGAGCCGAGGCTGTATAAAGGGTCCCGATCTTCGCCGCCTTATATACGGTGCAACCCGACCTTTGGCTGTGACCTACCGTGCATTCAGCGTGCTGACCTCGAGTAACGCATACCGAGGTCATACAGCTACGCTCGGCGTCAACGCAGTCCGCGAGCTAGGTGACGGGCTTTGGTTGTTTCGTGCATGGGGTGTGAAGGTACCTATTTTATTTTCAACTGCAGCGTTTTGGATTACTGGGCTTCAGCAGCGGCCAGCGAGTAATTCCCGGAGAAAATATTGGTTGTGACTTACACAGTTCTATTAACCCGCGCCCTGCTGGGGGTCCTGGATTTCCACGCCCTGCTGGGGGGGGGGGGTGAACCCCCTTCTAATTCGGTTCCTGGGCCACGTAGCGATACGGGAAAGGCGACAATCGAAAGAGCGTCAAAAACAAGGAAGAAATCACTCCGTTCACTTTTGGTCAGGTCAAAGGTCAGGTCACCAGAGGTCATTCGGAAACTAATAAAGCTACAGCGCCGCGGAAAAGCGCATTTGATAGCCCTATTAACGCTCTTTCCTACCAATTCTCTCGGATTTGACCTACCGTCAACGGTTTTGCCTGCAGGGGGCAAAAACTGCCAAAATAGCCGATTTTTAAACCGTTTTTTTTCGCATGAATTTTGACTCAAGCCTTGCACGAACTTTCTTTTACCAGTATCGTGTTCCTCTCGTCAAGACGCGTTAAATGAACTATCACTTGACCTTGAAAGGTCAACTTGAAAATTTAACCTCAGGTCAAGGTCATGACCTGACCGGTAAGTGTCAAGTTGCATATCAGTCGATCCTTATCGTCGAACCAAACACAATTACGGCGTTTTCATCGCTCTAGCATGCCTCTATCAAAAGCTATTCGCGAAAAAGTCATCAGTGACTTCAAGTAGCAAAATATGTGTTAGACAAACACGTTTCCATCGATGATTTTCAATAACATGCCTTTCTCGATTTTACAACAAATTTCTAAGAATGCTTGTAAACGGTGAAAATGCGACCTGACCTGTGACGTCATCGGTTGGACTGAGGTCAGTGAAATAGGGTCACAGACTCACAAGCGGTGGGGCTATCGAACGCCGTTTGAGTTTTGCAAATCGGCCGGTACCTACCTACTGTTCCGAGATCATTTGAGGTCAGGTCAAAAGAGATATGCCGAAATGTCATTTCCTTATTTTAGCATTCCTGCACATTTTTTAACACTTTTGTCCGAAAGAGCCGTAGTTTCAATTTCTACATTGAATTTACCATAAGAGGTCGCAAAAGCATACTCTATTATGTATTATGTATCAGCGCAGCGAATAAAAGGTTTTTAGTTTCGAGTGTTTTTGCACCAGTTTTCACTTGTCTTGATTTTGTGTATTCCTTTGTTTCTTAACCCTCGCCCGTATTGGTGTTTTTCCAGCCATGAACGTATAAAGGGGGGGGGAGTCCAGTGGATCCCCCTTGCCGTTTCGCCCCTGGTCGAGCTAGAGCTTCGCGGAAAAAGCGAGCGTGTTGCCCGTGACGAGAGGAAGCCGATGATACCCAATGTTAAGGTCCTAGGTCATTGGTTGACCTTCCAGGTCAGGTCAATGGCCCAAAAGTCGGGAAAATTGGGACATGTTAGAACGTCGTAAAGTGTGGCTGCTGAGAAGTTTTTCGGGGTGCTGATCACGAATATCATGTTTGTTTTGATCACAGATGATGTCTTCATGCATTTAGGCCAGGTCGGGTCAGGTCAAGTCAACCAGTAGGGGTCCTGCCGGGTATTCGTAGTAGGTGTCAACCGCCTCTGACCAAAACTACTTCGTAAATATTCATATGGTTGCTTAATTC